TTACAATCAACCCTTTCCATTACACTATCAGTCGTCTGTGTTAAAATGATGATAGGAGTCATTTTATCTTTACGCCAATAACCATTTTAATAGAGTGTGTCTGTATCTATTTTTCCCTGATTTTTCTATTTTAAAGAAAGAATGATACGCTGTTGAGTTTTTCTTTCCTTCCCTCATAGCAAACAACATGTTTTGTGTTACAGAACATGGAAAGTCTTAGTTCTGTGCAGTCGCATGAAAGACCTGGACCTGAAGCTGTTGAACTGAGGTCCAATGAAAGGTAAGTTTAGAATTTTCTTCTCACCCTGTTTTCAAGGACATGAAAAGATTTCCTTCACTAAATGCAGTGTGAGCTATGAGAACTCAGAAAAGAGTAGGAGGAAAGGATTGTGTGTATTTATTGTGAATAGAGTATTTGGCATGCAGACTATATTATTATGGCTAATAATCACATCCAGGTATGATTTTCTTACAGGTTTTTTTTCTCTACATGCATTATTTTTAGGATATAATGTTTTGCCAGGTGGTGGTGCACACCTTTAATCCCAGCACTCAGGAGGCAGAAGCAGGCAGATCTCTGAGTTTGAGGCCAGCCAGGTCTACAGAGTGAGTTTCAGGACAACCACAGCTACACAGAGAGACCTTGTCTTGAAAAATCAAGATATAATATTATTATTAATTATTTGAAATATTCATAAAATCTATTTTGGTCATATTCAACGTCTCTCCTCCAACTTCTCCAGATCCACCCCTCTCCCTTACTCGACAGACACACCCAAGTGTGTTGTCTAAATACTCTTGGATGTGGGAACTGCCCTGGAGTATGGATCACACCCTTAAATAAAACTGACTCTTTGTCTCCTAGCAGCTATCAAATGCCATATAGTACCTCAGCTAGTGTTGGGACTCGTACCCTCCTACACACACACACACACACACACACACACACACACACACACACACTCCACCCCCCAGACCCAAACTCCCATCAATGCTGGGATTTTTTTTTTTCTTTCTTGAGCTTGTGCAGATCTTGTGAAGCAGTCATGAAACTGCTGACTCCACATGTGTTGCTATGCTCATAGATTAGTACATCTCTAGGCTGTCTATTAAATCTTAACTTTCTGTTCGATTTTGTTTTTGAATTTTATGAGAATTCAATTTAGAGATACTCTGATTACTTTTAAAAGAAAATCATAATATGAATAGATAAAAGAGATTATAAAATAAATGGACAATTTATGTATTTTTTGTTGTCAATAGCAAAGAAAATGGAAGAGGTGGTGGAGACACTCAGCATTATGAGGTGAGTAGCTAACAAAAGTGTAACTGGTGGAACTTTGCTCTTGTTCTTGAGTGTGCTTCTGAAATGTCACTAGCCTGTTGATGAGAGCCAGTGAAGTCACTGACAGGACTGTGATTAGGAAGGAGGGTGGATTGTTTTACTTCTTGTAAAAATTGTAATAGACAGCGATTCTTCTCTGGGTTTTCTACTAAAAAAAAAAAAAAAAAACAGTGACTGGTTTGATGTTTCTATGACTTGATGCATCTTTTAAGTGTATGAAACACATAGGTAGTGAGTTTCAACTCATCTGTCACAAGTATTGCCTCATTAGTTTTCAAATGAACATAAATTCAGATTAAGTTACTTACTGGGGTTCCTTTTGTTTCAGATTAAGTAAAAAACAGAATGAAAACTCTACCTCCCTAGTGTCTCTATCCCCAAGTTTTGTTCATTTTCCTGTCCTTGCATATGTCGTCTTGGTGGCACCATCCTGACTCAAGGACTCATTTCCTCCTGTGCCCATTTCTGGTTCAGTTTAATGCCTGAATTTTAAATTTATATGTGTATATTATATCTTCTACTCCTGAATGCTTCCAGATCCAGTGTCAATTTTAGTGTTTATGGGGAAAATTAAAGCTTTTCTCAAAATATTGTTAAATGTAGATATACTAATAATATTGAAAGAACAGTCTCTGTAGCTGAGTAGTTCTTAATACTTACTGAGGACTGGCCTAATTTATTAATGGAGTTGTTCAACAATGTCTATTAAATTCTGTATATTAAATCCATATATTCTGTGCTGGGAATAGGCATTTAACTGCAGCTAGAGTTACTGCCCCCAGAGAGCTTTGAGTCTAGCAGATTAAGAATCTAAAAGCTGGACCAGATGGAAGTGAGTGGTGTAGCTGAGTGGCAGAATATGTATATAGCAAGTACAGTGTTCTAGACTTGATCTCTACCAGAAAAAAAAAAAAACAAAAACAAAAACAAAAAACAAAACAAAAACCCCAAGGAATCTTTAGCATCTTTCTCCTTAGAAAAGTACACACTCACATGAAACCACTGTAAATTAATGAAAACTTCCCCACTAATGCTGTAGATTTCTTATATTTCTTCTACTCAGGTCTTGTCATGTATGCTTTTTCATCAACCTAGATAGAGAGCTGGACATGGTGCCCCATGCCTGTAATCCCAGCGCCCAGGAGGCTAAGGCAGGAAGGATGACAGCTACATCACAAAACTGTCTCCCCGAAAATAACCTAGGTGGAGACTGCATCATCTTCTTTGAATTCAAGCTTCTGCTCCTGTGATAATTCCCTTATATCTTATTTCCAACTCAAATATCCACAGGACCAAAGCAAGAGGCCGAGGTGCTTGTCTTGTCGCTAGGGATTGTGTCAAAGAGCATGTTCCTTCTTTTCCCTGCCATCTTCCTTGACTCACAGAACGCCCTTTGACATTAAAGCATGCTGACTTCCTGGAGAGGTCTTCTGTCCTGTGATAAAGTGTAGAAGAGCAGTCTTGTCAATGAACTTCATGATAGTAAATCACAATCCCAAATGGCATTCAAATTCACAGTGGCCTATGTCTCTGGGTCGCAGCACAATCTTGGGACAGATCTTAAGTTCTTCTCCTGAGTGCCAGGTCCTCTTCTTACATGTGCCATGCATATGTAGCATCAATCAGCAACTGGCTCACTGCTAGTACTCTGTAAACATTCGCTATTAATAAACATCATTGTCATGACCACTTTGGATAGGAGAAGAAATTAAATGGTGAGTGAAAAATCGAGGCTAAGCTCTGTTGATCATCCTCTATCATAACCACACCAATGAAGAAAAAGACACTAATTCACACAATTGGAAATAATATCTATTTTGATGGGATGTTTTACTACTGTTTATTAAAGAATGGGAAACTTGTTTTCCATTTTAAATGTTCTTTCCCTTGTTTTGGTATGCTATGATTTCATATACATCACTTCCTAAAACTTCTGCAACAACAGTAGTCTTTCTATCCCGGAAATGAAAAATCTACACTTTGTTCACCCTTTCTAACTATTATTCTGACTAACTATTATTTATTTTGTTTCAAGTCTCCTTTAGCATCAAACTGATGCTAAAGAATTTGCCAGAATTTGTATGCCTACAACGAATTCATTTTGAAATTTCATTTTCTAGTAAGATGATTTTGTTCCCACTGACATTGGCCTTTAAAAGTCTTTGAGGTCAGGCGGTGGTGGTGCATGCCTTCAATCCCAGCACTGGGGAGGCAGAAGCAGGCAGATCTCAGAGATCAAGGTCAATCTGGTCTGCACAGTGAGTGAGTTTCAAGACAGCCAGGGCTACACAAAGAAACCTTGTCTAGAAAAGCAAACAAACAAACAAACAACAAAGTCTTTGTGAAAACTGTCAGCTGTCTATGAGGTTGGAGAGGTGTTTTTGTGACTAGAGTTCTGTCAGATGAGGGACACTGACCCTCAGCCTCAAAGCTGCTCCTTATTGTAGGGACAGACAAGCAGACAGAGACTTCTAAGTGTGCCTCTTAATGTCAAAATGCAGGCATAACAGTGATTTCGTTTTTTTCATATATCAATTGGCAGCTTTAAGCATACCTTGTACCAAAGCCTGTATTGAGAATGATCATAACCTTGTACCTTTATTGCATGTCTTTAAATTTTTATTTTAATTATGCAACTAAACTTATCCAAGAGGAGGGTCTCTGAGAGTCCCGGAAAAGTGCTGATCACCAGGAGTTATTCATTCCTTTCTCCTGAGGTTTGAATTAGACTTTATTTAATGACACACAATTTAAAAAAAAAAATAGTTGAGTCACTTCAAAATGCTACAAATGAAAGTAGGGTTTCTTGGGGCAGATATTGGAGAGGTTGGCACTTTAATAAAATATCTTCCTTGCACTGAATGAATAGAGGTAACTTAAGAGGTGGCGAGTGTTTTATGACACATGGAGCCTAAAGTGTTTGTTCTTTCTTTCTGAAACTCATTGAAAAGCACAGGTATCTGGAAGAGAAAGCACCCTTACCACTCTTCTAAAACGTATACCTGAGATACATTTTTAGACTTGTGCTTACTATGGAAGTGCCCTACACGTTGAAGCCTTCTGGAAGCTAAGCATTTCTCTTTAAAGGTTTAGTTTTATTGTTTTAATTATATGTCTGCATGTGACATGCCTGTGAGTGCAGATGCCCATGGAGGCCAGAGGCATCAGATCTCCCCAGAACTGGAATTATAGACAGTTCTGAACTGCCTGATGAGCTGGGAACTGAACTTGGGGTCTCTGTAAGAGTAGTAAGCACTCTTGCCCTAGAGTTGGGTCCTGATCCCACTGCCAGGGGGCCCCCTAGGACATGAGAGGACTTTTTGGAGCCCACTGCCTATGGTGGGACACCTTACATAGCCTTGATGCAGGGGAGGGTGCTTGGACCTACCTCAGCTGAGCGTATCAGGTTCTGCTGACTCCCACCCCTTGGAGGAGGTGGGAATAGAGGGTAGAATGGTGAGGAAGTCTGGAGGGTGGGAGGAGGGAGGGGAGGGGATCTTTGGTTGGTATGTAAAATGAATAGAAAATTTCTTAATAACAAAAAAGTACATTTAAAAAAAAAAAGAGTAATAAGGACTCTTAATCACCAAGCCTTCTCTCCAGCCCCAAGCTAAACAATTTTCTATTGTGAAAATGTTACAGTTCATATAAAACCTGAAATAGTCAAACAATAAACTTATAATGAGTCTCTGCTGTGGAAGTAAGAGGAGCAAAAAATTATTAACTATATGAAGAGCATTGCATTATCTGAAAGAGATAATTTTATTCCAGAATTCTAGGTCAATAAAATGTTAAATTCTTTCAAGACATTTTTATGTTCTTTATGCCTTCTAAGCCCACTGATTAAGAGTGATTAGAAGCATACTTTTGATAACAAACAGAACATTCATCATAGAAGCCTATTTCCCTTTTTTCCCCTCCTGCTTCAAAAAAGTAAGTAAATAAAAGAAGGAAAAGAAAAAGCGGAGAAAGGAAGAAGTTGAGGCTTGCCATGCAAGACAGAGCGTTGCTTGTCCCACCAACCATCTCAAGTCCAAGCTCTCACTGACCCTGAGAAACAGGACAATCAGTGCTCACCACAAGCCACTGGAGCTTGTGGCAGACGAGAACCTTGGGGATGTGTTATGTCTACACTCCTTTATTATCGGCCAAACAGTGACTGCTGGTGGTTTCCCGTGTCCAGTTAAGACTGGCTTTTCCTGGGAAAGCTGCATTGTCCAGCAGCCTCTAGTGTTGTTGTTCCTCATCCTAAGTCCTCAGCTACGTCCCCAAATCCTGTCCAGGGAAAGAGAAGGAATGACACATAAATTCTGTCATTGGAAGCCAAGGAAGGGGGCAGAGCAGAGCAAACAGGATAGGTTCGAGTCTCAACAGTGAGACCGAAAGCCTTAAGTTAATGGCCTGGACCTGCATGTGGAATGTCACCTGAGACCCAGGTGAGACAAGCTGTCTATATTGGCTCTCTGCCAGCCTTCCCTCTCCCTTTATAACTTCTATAACACTGGCCCTTGGACATTCAATGTTTCTCTTCCACATGGAATTCTATACCTTATGCACTTGTGAATTCTGTTGCCCAGAACATACTACCCATTCAATAAACATTTGCCAAGTGAATGGGGAAAGGAGTAGGGGGAGAAACAGAGATCTCTTTACCCTTACTGGGGGTAATCTGTTTGTATACGTTTTCCCTTTGTTCCTCACAACAACCCTAAGATGCAAAGTCCAGTGTCAGAGAAGGGAAGGGAAGGCCAGAGATGCTGGCTCACAAGTCTTGACAAAGCTAAGATGCTATTTAAACTCTTAGGTCTCTGCCTCCAGAAACCATCCTGATCTGCCTACTATACTGGATCCTCTACGAGCCCTCCATGATTCCATTAAGCAAAGATTCGTTGTGTATTCATGTGAGGCAGCATTTTGAAGTTCAGTGTGCTTCACATCATAGCATGAAGTATTTCTGAGTTGAAACATGTGCCATTGACTTATTTTTAATTTAACTGAAGATACTTGATGTGTAAATAACAAAAATTTAAACCAAAACTATTTTGGTATTTGAGACTGTCCTTGACATTGTTAACCCAAATGATCAAGGGGAAGAAACAGATAAGCAAATAGGCAGTATTTGCTGTGTCTATGATGAGCATTCCTAGAGAGTATGGCCTGCCTGACAAGGGGCCTCCGCCAAGGTACCTACGGGAAGGAAGAGCAGTTTAACTTCTTGCACATGGCTACAGAGCCTGAGCAGCCCCTGAGTAGCAACCCGCCATCACTGCCCCCCTCTTGTGCAGTTGCCAATTGGGCAACCCTAGGCCAGGAGAGCACCTGAGCTTCATAGATCAATGGGCCAGAATTAGGACTCAGGCTACTAAGACCAGAGGACAAGTGAAACAACAACCTCAGGGGTGGATCAGAGTCCAGCAAGACAGAGCCACGCTGTGCATGCATCCCACTGAAACAGAGCATGCTTGCTGCACTAGTGCGTCCATGATTTCCTAAGCTGGGATAGGTGTACGGAAGAGGGATGTGTGCACCCCCGTCCCAAGAATCAGCTTCAGTTAATGGAGGTCTCTCTATTCAGGATGTCCTACTCCACACTGAATGGTGCCCACCCTGGTGGCCTGTCCTTACTGGATTTCAGATGCAGTGAATGCTTGCTATTTGTAAACCACATAGAAAACAGCAAGGCCTCATTGAGCAAAGCTCCATATGCTTACATCCTCCTTCCTGAAATGCCCTTCCCAGTGACAGCCCATTTCCTCACTTCCTTCACACCTCTGCCTAGGTCTCATTGTAGAAAAGAAGCCATCTCTGTCCACTCAATATAAAATAAGACACCTCATCCACTGTCGATCATACTCATCTTTCCTTGTTTTATCCCCATCAACCTAATGATGTCTTTATTTTTAAAACTTTTAATGACTTACTTATTTTTATTGTATGGGTAAGGATATTTTGGCCTGCACGGATGTCTGTGTATTATGTGTGTGAAGTAGGTGTGGAAGCCAGCCCGAGTTCAGATCCCCTTGAACTGGAGTTACAGACAGTGGGAGCCACCACGTAGATACTGAGAATGGAACCTGGGCCCTTTGTGAGAGCGACAGTGCTCTTAACCATTGAGTCACGCAGCACCATTGGACACTCAATTATGCTGTGCTTAGCCCAGCATATGGAGTCTGCCAGCCTTGCCTCTGCTTCTGGCACTTGGGTCATCTGTCCGCCCCTTCTTGACCTTGGGGCTGGCCACCTTGGACCTCCTTCTCTCACCCTGGCCAGGGCGCTCCTCCATGCTTTGCTGGCTTTCTTACTAGCCCACCTCTTCCTTCTATGTGACGTGTCCCCTTCTACGGCCTTTCCACCCACCTCTGTTGCCTGAGTCAACTGCTGCTGCTGCTGCTGCCGATCAACGGCAAACACACTGGTGGCTCTGTTTGCTGATTTTTTTTTTATGATGCGTAAGTGTGTCCCATCTTTCGATATAGCATGTTTTACCTAAAATCCTGTCACACACACACTGTGTCTCCTAGTCCCCTTGCTAGCAGTTTGAGGGCCTGGCGTTTTACTTGTTGGTCTTTGCATGGTAGCTTATAACAACAGAAAGAATGGTGGTTTCTGTCTGTCTGTTCTCTTTTTTCTGTTGTTGGCTATGATTAGATTAGGCTTTGACTAGAACCTCTTAGGTTGTCCCAGAACTTTACAAGGTTATTTACTGTATACACATTCCATTCCTCTGTTTTACACATTTATAGTCATACAAACTCACATGTTTACACACAACTTTTGACTGATTGTCCCTAAAACATCTATAAGCTGGGTACTAGATTGATGCCTTCAGCCTTGGTCCACTTAGGCTAAACTCAAGGAACAAATGGTTTCTGTAATGTGGCTGTTTCTTAATAGACAGATAACATGCTCACAATGCCCTAGAGTGTAAGGTTGCCATGGTGTCTTCACGTGATGCTGCTACTCACCTCGACCTCACTGAAGTTTTGTTCTGTTCCCAGTGTGAAGAAAATGCCAGTCTTCTTGCTTCACTCAGTAGAAACAGAATAGTACAAAAGCACTGAGTATTCCCCTGGTGATCTCAAAGTGGGTCGGATAGCTGCTAAAAGGAACTGAAAGTCTTAAATAGCACTTTATTTTAAGAATAACAACATCTCCTACATTAGTGAATTCACTTATGATTTCCAGATGTTCTTAGGGTTTTTTTTTTCAATTAATAATAGGATAACTAAAAATAAATGTTCATTTACCCCAAAGAAAATATTTTGTGCAGATCTGTGCTACTTGGAAAAGTACATTTTTGAGTAAAACGATTTAAGCACAGTCATTTATGGTTTTATGAAAGCAGTAAGAGACAGAACAGCTTCATTTACAATATGCCAGGAGAACAAGGTAAACCAAGACAATGTTGATGCAAAAGAATTAATTTAAGTGCTATTTTAAACATGCACACAGAAGCATTCAGCATAAATATCTGCCTTTTAGCAAAGGTTCCCCTTCTAGCCAGGTGTCCGTGCTGCCTATGGCAGAGCCAAATGTAGCTTTAAGGTACATGAATAATTAGAAAAACAACTGGCCGTTACATGTTTGTAAGTTATAAATTACAAATCACCGACTTGCCAGCTCTTACTTTTTTTTTTTCTCCTGGGAGGGGAAGATTGTTCTCCCTGTAACCTTGGCTTGTTTTCAGGGTCTATTCCTCCCTGCTAGCCGAGATGAAACACCAAACCGAGCCATTTGAATTTGCGCAACAATACTTTAATACCCAGAGCGCCTCCATAAATAGTCTGTTCTCCCCACACTCCAGAGAAAACAGCCCCATTGAATCGATCTAAGCCTGAGGGCTCAGAGGAGTGTGGTGCCCCCAGCTTCTGCCCCTGTCCTTGCAGGAATGTTTACCTAAGAGGCAGAGACACTGCTTGCCAGACACACCATGTTGCTGCCGCAGCCTTAGCAACCGGAGCCAGGTTTTTGTTGTTGTTTACCATCTGGTGGGCCATGCTCCTTTAAGAAACATAAACTCCTTCTCCTCCTTCCACGGCCTCAGTCAGTAATCATTCACGACCTGTCAGCTGCCTGAAGTCATCTGGAGGAGCAGCCTAAGGAAATCATCTTGCCTCTCCCCCACCACGAGAAGAAAAGTTAAAGGCTGGCAGATGGACAGTGGCTTTCTGCGTGAGAGTAGCCAGATAGTGCCCACGGGGCATCTAAGCCCGGGTTTTATTTCTGCAATGGAAGTGTTAGCAGCTGTGGCTGGGGAGGTTACTTTCAGAAGGCGTGGAATCGCTGCAAATGTTTTTGCATTTTGGTGAACAGTAGCTATTGGGGGACACTGTGCTGTTATTGCAGAGCCCCACAATGAAGATTCAGGAGCATCCCAGTATATCTGACACCAAACAACAGAGGAATCAAGATGCCGATGATCAGCAAGAGAGCTTTGTCCCTGAAATGCCCCCGTTGGATCTGACAGCGTTGTGTGATGAGAAGAACTGGGAAGGTAAGTGATCCTCTGCCATTTGGATTGTTGGGCACTGAAGAAAATCAATATCAGTCCATGCAAGGTGTGTGACTGCATGCCTGTGAGGACGAGAGTAAGAGCTATGCATGCGGAAGAAACTGGGTTTCCATAAAGAAATAACCGAAAATCCTTTACCAGGCAGCACAGGAGCAGGCTGTGTTTAGTGTTACTTAGGGTGGTTGCAGTACAAGAAAGGAAGACAGGCATGCTCTTTGTCCTGGTGGCACCTTGCAGTATATTTTTAACCCACCAAGCATGCTGCCCCTGCTTGTGGTATGCCCCAGAAAGCCGGCCACCCACTACCTCATCCACCACCCCCATGCCTCAGCTGCCCCCCTGCTACCTACCAGTCACCCCGCTACATCACTCACTTTCTGCAGTACACCTTCCAAGTTGTCAAGGAAGATGTTTTTCTTCGCTTTTCTTCTATCTTTTAATGTATGCATTAAAAAAAAACAACAATCAGGTTAATACACACTAACGAGAACACTGACTGCTGAAAATATAGTTTTAGATTTTTTTTTTCCCCCAGAGATGTCTGGTGAAAACATCAGAAATTTACTTTGAGGAAGAAGTTAGCTTTATCAAAACTCTGTCAGAGAGGGCCTGGCAGCAGTTCCAATCAAGGTGCCTTCTTTATCCCTCTGTCTACACTCAAACCCATGTCCGCGCTCGATAGAGTGACTTTCTGAAGGCCACAGCGTCATGACTTAGCAGAGGATCACGACTATGAAAATCAGCCCTGCTAGTGCTGGTGTGCCCAGCCCGCTATCCAGACCCACCCCTCTGTTTCCACCCAATGATCAAAGTCCATCTGAAAAGCCCACATGTGAAAAGTTGACCTAGTTATCGTCCTGGCCTGCGGGGCTTTGTGAAAGACTGTTTTATTTTCATTTTCCCTCCTGTAATCTAAGAAACCCATTCTGGATATTTTCACGTAGTTAGGCAGCAGATCTGAAATTTTGTCACATCATCCCAGCTCAAAATATTCAGAGAACAAAAGAGGGCACGGTTGACTTGCTTCATGTCATATTAAATTTAAGTGATCTATGTCTGGATATCATTTCTGCCCACTTTGAAATAATCATGTGTCTTTTTAATCTATAAATCCACAACAACCTGCCTTCTCTACCCGCAAGAGTCTCAGAGTGCTCACTGTTGCCCACATAATAGCAAAAGCAAAAATAAATAAATGAGTTTGAGTTTCAGTGATACAGCCTATCTTATAGATTTTAAATAATAAGAAGAAATTGGAGCCAAAATTCAAATGAGCTGCAGCTGCTTCCTGCCCCTCCCCTGAAATGGACTGGACTTGGTTTGATTATTTCTCTTGGTTAATCATAAGTTCAAATTTCTCTATCTACATACATAACCTAAAATAAAGCTGAACACGCGTTCCAGAGTGGTTGAAAGTCAATTTAGAGTTTCTTAGAAACCATTCTATTACTTTAAAGAATTATTCTGCAGAGAATAAAAATATGGAGGAACCAGCCTCTTCCTTGAAAGGCTGAGCAGGATATTTTCTAAAAGGTTATTGGGAAAATGCGCTTTACAGGCTGTTTGGAGCACGAGACTTTGGCTTCATGCAAATTGTCACGACTATTCTTTTTTCCCATTACATTGGCATTTGTTGTTGAACTTCTACACCTTTCAAATCTACAGGGATTTATTTTTCAAGGTCATTTTGGCTGTTTGTTTATTGCTCTCAGTAACCTTTTTAAAATGACCTATTTTAATTTCCAAATAGCTTTATACCAGGAACATGGCCGTAAGTATAGTCAAAATAAAGGAACCAAATGCGTAAAGCTAGATAAAATGACAACGATAAATTCGGTGGCTAGAAAGTCATCTTGTTTATAGCTTCAGTGATGCATGAGAAGGTGTTTTTCTAGTGGCAAGTAGCTTGACACTGGTTTAAGTTGTGCACACAAAAGCAAGGCAGCAAAATGCGGAGATGGAAGCAATAATCACCGGACTGCACAAACCCATGGCCACACTGAGCCTCCAACAGCCCCAAAGTCACTGTGTGGAGGGACACTCTGTGTTTGCGAGCCTGATCGTTGGCCTGTGTCATTGGTCACAGTCTGGTGTGTAGCCAGGAAGGGTCAGCTGATTTAGGGTGGCATGAATGGGTGTGGTTGGAGCAGCGTGTGTCTGGGAAATAATGCTCTCCAAGTTCTTAAGCTTAGGAATCCAGGGAACAATGAAGGAGATTGAAACAGTAAGTAGATTCCATAGTCTCCAGAGTGGAACCCTTGAGAGGTGAACATAGGGCCCATCTCATCCCGCTTGCTGGCCTGTAATCAACTGTGCCTTCATATTTTAAGACACATTATGTAATCTACCATGCCATTATTCTCTTTGGTGTCAGGGTTTCAAGTCTTCAAAGTTAAGTGGATACACAAATCAAAGGCACTATTCTAATGCTGAAAGGTAATTAGAACTGTGTAATTAAAATGTTGCTAAGTCCCATGCATGCAGATTTGTATGAGATTTAAACATACAACTGTACTTTATTTGCCCTGAAATTAGGTGTAAAGAGCACTTTGACCTGAGAATGGTAGCTCACACTTGTGATCCCAAAGTGGGGAGACTGAGGCAGCAGAATCACCACAACTTTGAGGCTAGCCTGTGCTACACAATGAGACCCTATAGCACAGGCTGGCCTTGAATTCAAGTTCCTCCCACCTCAGCCTTCCACATGCTGGGATTACAGGTGTTGACCACCACAAAAAGCTAATAGGACATTTTTTAAAGGTCACAAAACACTTAGTTTTTCTCACTTATTACTTACAATGGACAACAATTTTGGAGAGAAATTCTCTATAAGTGTCATAAAAAGAGGCTGGCAAGATGGCTCAGTGGGTAAGGGCACTCGTCACCAAGTCTGATGACCTGAGTTCAGGCCCTAGAACTTACATTGTGGAAGTAGAAAACCAAGTCCCCAAAGTTGTCCTCTGTCTTCCACATATACACCACAGTGCACACAAACACAATCAATCAATCAATTCATCCATGTTAAAAAAAAAAAAAAAGTATTTTGGAAGAATCATGGAGAAGCAAGCGATCTTAGAAGATCTCCAGCTGAACCCTTCCATTGTACAATTAAGAGGACTTCACAAGATACCCCCTCATCCCCCCAAGAGCCAACCAACGCCCACTATTCAGCTGGAAGCAGTCTTTGAGAGAAACGTCGCCCCCATACCCAGTCAACCACAATTTTTTCTTTTTTTAACAAGGAAAGAGTCGGGAATGAAGGGTTCACAACATGCCCCCATGGTCGCATATACCAGGCGGACACTTCCGCCTAGCAAATTCCAAGTCAGGATAGGTATTTCTGGGTCAGGGCATCTCTCGTAACCAGGATACCCGGCGGACCTCGACACCTCCGCCTAGCCAGTTCTAGGTCAAGATAGCTAGCCATTTCCGGGTCAAGGCGTCTCGCGTAACCAGGATCCGTGACGTTACATGGCCACGTAAGCGCGCAACATGACCATGTGATCTACACACACGCGTGGAGTAGTGACGTGACCTGGCCACGCCCCTAGCCGGTTTTTAAAGTGGAGCGCCATATTCCAGGTTCTCTCTTCTCTCTCTCTTCTCCACGCACGTGTCTCTCCCACAGGCCTGCGCACTCTCTATCCCTTTATCTCTAATAAACTCTTATAAGCAGGGGGGCGGGGAGAAGAAAGCTGAGCATCTCCTAACTTCTCGCTCATGCCCAAACAATACCAATCAGGCATCCCATCAAATAAAGCAGATAAGAACCAAATTCTTGGGTCAAATCCTGGCTCTGCTGCTTGATCAGCTCTGTGGGCAAATTAGAAAATCTGTCTCCATTTTGCCTTGATTCCATTGTCCTTAACTAGGTGTAACAACAACAGCAACGATTAAATGAGCTAATACCTGCTGTCTTCCACATCCTATGGGTACCATGTAAATATTACTGCATTTCTCTTCCACAAATATCTCTAAAATATACTTTTGAGGGGAAATTCAGCCAATATTTTGTATGAAATTCTCAAAGAATTAATTATTTTTCAAAGAAGCAAAATCAATAATACTAAGCAGGTCCTCATGTATTTGCCAAGTGCTGCCCATTCACACTAACCTCCATTCCTTTCTTTGTAGTAAGCCAGACCCTGGCCTGGGAAATGCCGCACTTGAAGAGAGAGCAGCTGGGCACCTGGCAGGGTCTTGGTGATAGCTGTCTCTGAGGCATGTGAGGAACCGAAGACAGGCAGGGTGGTGCATTAGTAACTGATTAAGAAACTATGTGAAGCAGGGCAGCAGTGGCACACCCCTTTAATCCCAGCACTCGGGAGGCAGAGGCAGGCAGATCTCTGTGAGTTTGAGGACAGTCTGGTCTCCAGAGTGAATTCCAAGACAGCCAAGGCTACACAGAGAAACCATGTCTGGAAAAAACAAGCAAGCAGAAAAAACTATGTGTAAATGGGTAAACCACTAGGTCAGCCCCTCGAAGAGCATTGTTCCTATTGGTTGAAGTCATCGGCCCTATTCTGTCCAATAATTTAAGCAGACCAGTTGAGGACCTGCTTCTTAACTTTGCAGATAGAAACAAAACAGATGCTTGAGCCTTAAAAAAAAAAAAATCAAATCTGGCCGTGACACAGCTGACTGCTGAGGTTCCTTATAAATCTGGTAGTGAAAGACTTTTTGAACAATTTAGTAAGACTACCATTGTTCTAAGGTTATGGGACACTAAAAAGAATTTATGAAAGTAATCCCTCCATTGTGACCTCTGTCTTTCCATGTCTGAGATGTACAAGCACCTCTTTGAACAGCTAAAAGGAGAGTTATGACATTGTGCCAAACAGTAATGGCTCTAAATAACATAGTTGGAAAAAGAAGCGTGGAAAATATCATCTCCCTTAATTTCATCCAGATTTCTTATAAGTAAGTCATTCCAATCACCAGTTTCTTTTATATAGACAATGGCTCCAGCCAGATAACAGAGTGCAGCTGTCTCGATGCCCTGCGCCAGCATTGCTCAGAGGTGAAGTCCTTCCTCTCATGGGTTCTTTCCCCCGATGCCCCTGTGGACTGCGGTATCTGAATTAAGACTCCTCAGAACCCATTCTTATCACTTAGATAGCAGGAACACAGCTTTTATATTTGTTATTTCTGATGACCTGATATGATGTCAAATGACCTGAATGAATTAGTTTTTTAATAATAAAAAAAAAGAGTCATGATTATATCTAGAGTTTATTGTGAGTGTACTGAAGGGAGTTTTATTTGAAAATGAAAATGTGCTCACTTTATGGCCTGCTGTAGGAGAAGAGTCAAGTGTGAAGCCTTGCATCTTTTTTCTTGTCCCTTTGAATACATTTGCAATATCCTTGTTTCAATGCTCTAGAGTTACTAAATCTAAAATATTTGTCAAGCAGCCGTTAGAAATGGCTGGTGGTGCATCCTCAAAACTGGCTCTCTACAAAGCAATGAAACTGCATATACTATGTTTCACGCTATTTAGGGAAGTTGCCTGGCTGCCTAGTTGGGTGAATATTAGCAAATGTTAGCTAGAATATTTCAGACTAAAATGTGGAACTGGCTGTATTGACTCTTTAGTATATGTGATTCATGCTACATGTCAGTTTGTGACTTTCTGAAATGGGATCCTTTACATTTGAGACTGCATAGAACAGAAAAAAAGGACGACACTCATGTAA